TTGCATAGAAAAAACTTCATACTGAGAAGGAGGTACATTAGAGCTGTTGTAAGGCAAGCCTTCCTAGGAAAGGAATTCCATCAAATGGACATCCATGTCCCAGAAAAACACATCTCACAATATTCATATGTCATAGTATAGTATAAGTAATTTTGCAGATAGCAACCACTGCAGTAGGGCGGAACCATCCTCCCAGGACCAGTATCACTGTGCCTTATTTGGACAGGCCTGGGTGGTGGTGATGTCAAAACTGTGCAGATGCATAAGAAGCCCTTTACACTGATGTATTCATTCTGCCTTGAGTTTGCTTGCACCTTGACCCACCTCAGCACCATCCAGAGATGCTGCAGCAACAACAGACCAACTAAAGGTAAAGGTAAAGGTACCCCTGCCCGTACGGGCCAGTCTTGACAGACTCTAGGGTTGTGCACCCATCTCACTCAAGAGGCCGGGGTCCAGCGCTGTCTGGAGACACTTCCGGGTCACGTGGCCAGCGTGACATCGCTGCTCTAGTGAGCCAGAGCCGCACACGGAAACGCCGTTTACCTTCCCACTAGTAAGCGGTCCCTATTTATCTACTTGCCACCCGGGAGTGCTTTCGAACTGCTAGGTTGGCAGGCGCTGGGACCGAAGAACGGGAGCGCACCCCACCGCGGGGATTCGAACCGCCGACCTTTCGATCGGCAAACACTAGGCGCTGAGGCTTTTACCCACAGCGCCACCCGCGTCCCAACAGACCAACTACACTCCAACAAAAAATTAAGAATGGAAACCATTTACTTAATTTTGAAAAATTTTAGTTCTACCTGCTGATGTAATGTACCTGTGAAAGGACTAGTCCCCTATCATGATAAGAGGCAATAATATCCACTTACCTTACCACTTGCTGTAAACCTTGTGTCTTAGCCACTGCATTGAGTGATCAGAGCATATGAAACTACATCTTGAAAATGACTATAACTGTCTCTTTTTCCCTTCCTACTTTTTCTTTTAGCTGGTATATGGTTCGAATCCAGTGATGAATGATAAAACTCCAGGGCTTGATTTTTACCAGATGACCCCTCAGGAAGCCCTTCAGTATACAGGGATACTCTCTTTGCTTCTTCATTTTAGATGGGTGTGGATTGGGGTTGTAGTCGCAGATACTGATAATGGAGAAAGATGTTTGCAAATTATCATTCCACTGTTCTCTCACAGTGGTGTCTGTTTTGCTTTCATAGAAAGAATCCCCATGTTAATTTCTTTCAATGAAATTGATGAAAACCTGGAAAGAGGAGGTAAATTACATAATGAAATCATGAATAGTAAAGCCAACATAGTGGTTTTTTATGGCGAATCAAATGCCATGATGTATTTGAGATGGTTTCCATATCTGGCAAAACAAGAATGTGAGACAAGCATAGTAAGAGGGAAAGTTTGGATTCTTACAGCCCAGATGGAACTTACATCAACAGTCCATCAAAGGAATTTTGTTACAGAAATAATCCACGGTACACTAGCCTTCAAGATTCACTCCAATGATGTACCAGGATTCCAGTCTTTTATTGAGAGCAGAAATCCTTCCATCCCTAAAGGAGATGGGTTCATCAGGGACTTCTGGCAGCAGGCCTTTGGTTGCACATTGTCAAAAACGGATGTAGGTAACGTGGATGGATACATTTGCACTAGGGAGGAGAAGCTAGAGAACCTTCCCAAACCCTTCTTTGAAATGAGCATGACGGGCCACAGCTACAACATCTACAATGCTGTCTATGCTGTGGCCCATGCTTTACATGCAATGTCCTCATCTGGAGTCAAGCACAGTGCAAATCTGGATGGAGCGAGAATGAAACTACAGAATCAAGAGAAATCGCAGGTAGTGGCCTGAACATCTTGACGTGACAATGCATAATTTCTTACTGTTATATTTTTACTCCCACAGAAAGGTACTCCTGGAATATTCTGCCTCAGGTACCAAATTCATTTGACCAAGCTTGGGGCCTTGGGATTTGGAGGGTGTTGTTGTGATAGGTGTCACGTACTGTTTGACCTGACTTGCACCAGCCTGCTAGCTCCAGATTTTGTTCGGCATTTTATCTGAAAAATTCATGTAGTCATGGAAGGCAGGTTTTGCACAGGCATCTGGTTGACCACTGTGAGAAGAGGATGCTGGGCTAGATGGGCCACTGGCCTGATCCAGCAGGCTCTTCTTATGTCTTTATGTCGTTACCTTCTCTCTTGCCACTGTTGCAGTTGTGACTGGTGATTCCCCGCACCTTGTGGATATAATGGGGTGGATTACAGTCAAATAGATATAAGGTAATGCTCATTGGGAAAGAAGGGTTAATTTTGATTCCTAGAAGGTATAGGGCCTATTCATGGGGCAGAATATGGCTAACCATACAGGTGAGATGCAGCTAAAAAAGCAACAGAAATGTGTGATGAGTTATTTATGCTGGAAAAGATTGTGGAGCTCTTTGGGCATACATTTTGAAAGCTATATTTTCTAAGTTTTTGAGAAGAAAGACTGATGTGAAATATGGGAGGAGGATGTTTTGCTAAAAGATACCATAAAGTGATCTCTTTGAGGTGTTTTAGCTTATTATATGAGCAGCATGTATTCTTATCAGTTTGCTGAATAACATAGTGATCCTTCCTATTATCTCTCAATTATAAATAGTAAGCAGATATTTCGCCAACTGCCTCCTACTCAACATTTCAGGAGATCATCTTTGCTGCCATTAGACGTTGGTCTGAAAACCCTACTCCTTTTTCTATCCATCCAGCTCCATCAATTTTTGAGACATGTTTCATTTAACAACAGTGCTGGGGACGAGATCTCCTTTGATAATAATGGGCAGTTACTAGCTGGATTCGATGTCATCAACTGGGTGGTTTCATCCAACCAATCCTTTCACAGAATAAAAATTGGGAAAATGGAAGCGCAAGTTCCTTCGGAGGAAGCATTCACCATCAATGAAGAGGCCATAACATGGCATTACTGGTTTAACCAGGTAGGATCCAATTGGAGATTTAGGGTGGAAGTGTTTTAGATAATCGTGTCAGTAACTGTATCTCTTCAAAACTGTCATCAAACATATGAGAGCCCAGACGAAAGATTAGTGTCGGTATTCTCTCAAAGTACAACCTAGTTCTTTAACGAACAATCATGTTAATGATGCATCTGTTTCCAGTGTTGCTGTTAGCCTCATGCCTCAGACTATCATACAAAGCTACCAGGAGGTCTTTAAAGCCTCCTTCTGTGTGTCTATGATGGAATGGAATTTGTACTTTAATCTGCATGTAAGATGCTGTCAGGAGTGATTGGTGAGTGCTAGAAGAGATAAGAGTCTGGGAATCCAGCCATATTTACAGGATTTATTGGTTTCTTTCTGCTATTTACACGGAGCTCAGAGTACATTTGCATCATGGAGTGTCAGTTGCAGAGACTGGCGATGCTTTCGGTTTCTTCCAGCATAACCACTTCCGGAACCCTCCCCCTTGCCTTCGTCTGTTACAAGAGTGGCTGGGCCCCGGAAGCTGCTCCCCCCTCTCTGATTCATTGCTTTCTGACAGCCATTCGTCACCCTCCTCCTCCGAGGAACTACAACTGCTAGTATCGGAGGCTTATCTCTATAGGTCCCTATTCTCTCCCCCTTCTCTGCCTCCAATTCCCTGACAGATGCATATGTGATTGAAATCCCTTAACATTGCAAAAAGAAGTGGAAAGGCCCATGAAATTTAAAGATTCCAAGCTCATTATTTTGCTTTCTCATTTATGGATTAGGCCCAGCCACTTTCTACATGCAGTGAGAGCTGCCATCCTGGTTCTAGCAAGAAAGTGAAAGAAGGGAAACCATTTTGCTGCTACAATTGCATCCCATGTCCAGAAGGGAAAATATCAGACAAGGAGGGTAAGTAAGTATAATTGATGCTACTGGGTGTTTTCTGTTCTCGGTATTTTAATTTGATTTGCGTAGGGACACATTTTTACAGTCAGGCTACTCCAAGCTTGATGTTTTCCCCTTGTAAATTTTGGTTTAATTGATACGGTATTGATCCAATAAGGTGAGGAAAATCAGGCTCCAAGCTGCTTCACTTGGGTCACAGACTATTCGTTTTCATGGTTTGGTGATGAGTGGATATGTTGTCACTTTTTGTTACTCCTCTTTCCACACTCATTATTCCTTCGTACTTTCATTTCATTTCTAGTCATGCTCATAACTATTTCTGGTGTGCTTCTGAATGGAACTAGCGGTGTACATTTTTTGTTGGTTCCTCAGATTTACACAGAACTAGAAAACTGCACAGGCAATCCACAAAAAATCCTCTACAGTCTATTACACAGCATGTTAAAATTAAAAGTGTAAGCTGATAATTTAAAACTGATTTCTTTTCTATTCTGGCTGTGCTCCTATTTCCAGTGTTCCTGAATATATTGCCTATGAGCTCCCATATTTATGAAAAAGCAGAAATCTCCAGAAACAAACTACAGATAAATATCTGTTTTAATGTGGTATGCTTGTGCAAGTTTCTGGTTTTGTTCAATTCTGAGGGAATTAAAAAAAACAAAAAAACCCCAATACAACTATTTGTGCACATGCCCTGTTGGTACTGATTTACTATATGTAACTCAACAGATTGGAAAGTTGGGACAAACATACTGGTATGAATAGGAAAAACCTAAATATTTCACAAAGAAAATCACAGATGTAGGGGTCAACTTATACCACTGTGAAAGGAACCATTTGAGCATGTTATTAAGGTTTTATGTAAGATCAGTACCATAGCCCTTTTCACATATTACTGGTGTGTGAGGTTCTATTTCACACATGAATTCTAAATCATGCTATGATCAGCATAGTGGGAGCAAAAGACAGTGTTACTTTGCAGCTGTGGCTATATGTACAGCCCTGCATATATATATATATATATATATATATATATATATATATACACACACATTAGACCTCAACACTCAGGTAATGCAGAAAGAAGGCTTATGTCTTTTCCTGTTTCAGATATGAATGACTGTATTAAATGCACAGATGAGAAGTACCCAAGTAAGAATCAAGATACATGCATTCCCAAGACTGTAACCTTCTTGTCTTATGAAGAACCTTTGGGGCTCAGTTTAGGCTGCATTGCTCTTTCCTTTTCTTTGACCACAGCTCTGGTGCTGGGGACATTTATGAAGCACCATGGCACTCCCATCGTCGTTGCCAACAACAGGGACCTCACCTACACCCTCCTCGTCTCCCTCCTGCTCTGCTTCCTTTCCGCATTGTTGTTCATTGGCCAGCCTCAGAAGTTGACATGTCTCCTCCAACAAGCTGTTTTTGGCATCATCTTCTCAGTGGCTGTTTCTTGTGTATTGGCAAAAACCACCACGGTAGTTCTAGCTTTCATGGCAACCAAGCCAGGATCAAGAATGAGGAGGTGGGTGGGGAAAAAGCTGGCCACCTGCATTGTTCTTTCCTTTTCCCTTATTCAAACTGGCATTTGTACTGTGTGGCTGGTGACCTCTCCCCCATTCCAAGATGTAGACATGCACTCAATGGTTGATGAAATTGTACTGAAATGTAATGAAGGGTCTGTGACCATGTTTTACATTGTCCTGGGCTATATGGTCTTCCTGGCAATTGCCAGCTTCACAGTGGCTTTCTTTGCCAGGAAACTACCTGATAGTTTCAATGAAGCCAAGTTCATCACTTTCAGCATGTTGGTCTTCTGCAGTGTGTGGCTATCCTTTGTGCCAACTTACCTCAGCACAAAGGGGAAATACATGGTTATTGTGGAGATCTTCTCTATCTTAGCTTCCTGTGCTGGCCTTCTGGGCTGCATCTTTTCTCACAAATGTTACATTATTGTGTTTAAACCTGAGTTGAACAACAGGGAACAGCTCATAAGGAATAAAGACTGAAGAATTTAATAAATCTCTTTCCTAAACTGTAATTTGCAATCTGGACTTATCTTTGTTTGTCCAAGTATTTGTTTTTGTTTTTGTTGTTACTCAGATATTTTAGTGATGATATGGTGTTTATTATTATGTTGTACACAGCCTTGGTAGTTTATGGTATTGTATGTCGCCTGCTTAAATGGTTATAATAATAGACAAATCAATCCTGAGCAGTTGATGTGGAAGTCCTGGGCTGTCCAGATGATAAGACCCCCTCTTGGCCTTGCTGAGGTAATACAGAGGAAAGCAAAACAATACATATGGCACCAGTTTGGCTGCAGGAATTGCCAGAAGTCAATGTCTTCCCTCACCCAAATGTAATGTTATTGCGTTGAAGCCTGAGCTGAACAGCCAGAAACAGTTCATTAGGTAAAAACATGGAAGTATTTGAATACCCCTGTCTTTTATGATGATTTGAAAGCTGGATATGTGTGTTTGATCTGCAATATATTTATAAATGTTTTCCCCACATAAAGTTTTTTATACAACTCCCCCTTGCTGAAAACTTGAATTGGAAAATTGAATCAATATTTCCCTAAAGGCAGGCTCAGCACTTGTCGCCAGCAAGTTCTGGATCTGCCTGCAGGTCTCAGTGGCTTTGCGACATTGGCACCCTTTTTGTTGGTCACCTGTGCAGCTGTTTAGGCACTGCAAATACTGCAGTTCTGCTTTTGAACAGGAACCAACCTCTTTTTTAAAAAATAACATATTTATTGAAATTTTCAAAAAATCCAGGAAAAAGAAAAAGAAAAAAGAAAACATTTACCATTTAAACCTTATTTTCAATAACATCTTTCCAAGACTTCCCCACACCTCCCCTTCTTGTATTCCATTTCCATTTATTTAGTTCAACAAGTTCTTATCCCTAATTTTGACCTTATTGTATTTAGCTCATTCTTCAATTTAGTTAATTTTAAATAGACACTTTCATCTTATAATCCACAGTCTTTATACATTAAAATCTTTTTCTAAGGTCGACCCCAATTCCCTTCCACGAATTCCCCTTTTTTATACTCATAGCAAAACAAAATAAAGAAAGAAGAAAAAATCAAAATATAATTGTACACCCTTTGGATTCCCAAGCTCCAACCCCCCTTTCCTGGTTTCAATCCCCAATGTCCATCAGTCTATCTGCTATCAGCCTGGAGACCTCACATCCGAGGCCCTTAATTCTCTCTCAGTTCCTCTTTGCCGGTTTTTTAAATAGTCCTTTATACCAAGCACCAAATCTTGGAGAAGCTCTATCTCGAAAATGTCCATTTTTCTTCCATCCAGACCTCTATATCTAAAAGTAGAGCTCAAATCTTGTTTCTTAATCCTTTTGAGTCTGAATGTCCCAAATGCTCCAACTTCCATCTTGATCAGATTTGTAAACCATGGGTCTTCAGATCTCCACATCAAGAGATCTCTCCAATCTTCCTTGACTAATTCAAACCAAATTTTCATCATCCAATTCTTGTTTTTCTTTATGTCCTTCCTAACAGGCCTCTGGCCTTCCTTGATCTTCTGCGGCGTTGTAACTCCTCCTTCATTCCCTTCCAGATCATCATGTATCTCTTGTTCCCTTTTAACACATTTCTCAGGTTTCTCTTCCTGCTCAGCTGCAAAAACTTTTGATTCCGCTACAAGGATTTTTTGTTCAGGAACAAAAACTTGAGTCAAGTCCCTTCCAATTTCAGTAAATTTATTTACTGTCTCATTCAGTGTAGAGGCCCTTGTAGTCAAAATATTGCTTTGTTCTTGAAGCTTTCCCAGGAGATAAAAAGTCCTGTTCAGCTCAATGAGTATTTTTCCACTTACAGCCATTCTTGTAATGTCCCAAAACCCCCTCTAGAGGGATTATGGTTACTTAGTAACCTTCCAGTTTCAACCCAAAAGTCAAAATAACTTGTTCTTCCCTGTTTTCAACAATTTATATTCAAATTGTAACAAATCTAGCCAGCAAAGGCACCAGAAACAAAGTTCTCTTTTTATTCCCCAACTTTGACAGCTACTTTGACAGCTGTCAAAATCTTTGTATCTCTTCGCCAGGCTCTCTCGCGGATCACTCCCGGTTCCCGGGGGGTTGCACTTCAACTCTCAAAATCAACTCTTATCCTCCAGCAAAATTACTTGTACTTTCCAATCGTGAAATTAATAACTTTTATCCAATAAGGAAAAGGATATTCTCTCAACCTTAGTTATCTAGTCCTTGCTTTAAGTTGTTTACAAGTCGGGGAGACGGACTTCCTCTTTGCGCCTTCCCCGATCGTGCCAAATCCAAAAAGAAAATTTCCCTTTTTAAGTCCAATTTCCGTATTACTCACGGGTTGTTGCTTTTGATTCAAATGTTCAAAGGAAGAAGTCAGCGCTCTCCGTCCATGGCATGCGGCTTCACTCAGCAGGGGAAGCAGAAGACTCTCAGCACCGCACCGCTCCCCGTCCCCCATTCTGTAGCCTTTAAAAAGGCTCCTTCACGGGTCGGGGAGGGCGCAAATGGTGCCCACCGAGTCACCACGTCCACAGGCTTCCGCACCCGTGGTTTTTAAGGGTCCCCGCGTCGCCAGCGCGGCAGGACCCGACCCCTGCTGAGCTGATTCCCTCCGGAGCTCGGAGGGAATCCGCCATTAGGCGATGGCGCTAACCCGGAAGTCCTCCTGAACAGGAACCAACCTCAGCTCCTATGTAAGTATACTCTTGGCAACTAGGAGGGAATAGCATTGCTGGTCATTCAGGAGTGCAAGTGGGAGCCAGTGGTGGGAGAGAGAAATGTCACGTAATACAATTCACACCAATTAGAAGCATAAGGCACAGAACTGTTTTTATTGGCAATCCTGTGCTTTTAATTGTTTCACATTAGTTTATGGTGCAACATGTGCATGCTATTGAGCATTTTCATATAAATATAGTTACAGGTAGTAGGGTTTATTGGGAACCCTGCAAGACAAAAAACCTATGAGCACATTTGTATTGCAGAAGCACAGCAAGAATATTAGGCAATAAAACCTATTTCAGAGAACTGAATGGGGCTGGGAATCCATGTGGACATATTGGGCTGCTTTAGTGCTAGCAAATAATGAAATACCTATAGGAAGATATGTGCAGTCAGTCCCTGTATGCCTCTCTCACACTTCCCCCCAACAACAGCACTGTGATATATGTCAAAGTGTGCTTAACTGGGAGAGGGGATTTTACCCTCCCTTTCCAATAATTTAAAAAGAGGTGGCTTGCTCCCTTCCCTTCTTTGTAGGGACAGGAGGGGACAGGGAGACATAAGCAAGTAATTGCTGTGATATGTGGTGATGTACAAGCAGTGGGTGGGGAATAAGTTCGTGTCTCTTTGCACAGACTACAACACTCAATGTGTTTTTTCAAGGAGGCCTGCATTGTCATCAAGCTTCTATAATTTGTTTTATTGTTCCAGATTGCAGCCTAATATTTCTGGCGTCCCCCTTCTCTGTTATTCATTCCAAACATAATCATCAGTTTCTCCCAAGCTAATCATGAGTGAAAACTTTTGTTCAGCTGTGAAAAACATGTTTTCTTCAGCATTCCATAGGGAATCCTCATATCTGAATGTTTGATTTCCTTCTTCTTCAGTTATCGAAAGCATTGCAATATTAATCTCTGGTGGAGTTTCAGTGGCCACGAGTAAAATAAACTTCGATGATTAAGAAGAATGTTATAAATATGCCTGGTACTATTTAGAGATAAGAGTAGGAACTGGAATAAGGCCAGGATCTAAAGGTTTATTCTCTGATACTTTTGCATTACATGACTCAAGATTTAGATCTGTGAACAAACTACCATTAGAGGAATCTCTAAGCATAGACACGCTGCTTTTAGAAAATCTGCATGTAGAGGGGGAAGTTGCCCTTCTACTGAAGAAGATGGTTGTTTTAGTGGTCTTGTTCATAGTATTCTTTTCTCAGATGCTATGCAAAGCTCATACTGTGAAATGTAAGGTTCGTGGTCCACATTATCCACAACACATGTACCATCAGCCAGGAGACCTTATCATTGGTGGCATTGCAACTTATGGTGGTTTCGTGAGTGATTTATTATCTTTCACTGAAGATCCCCCACCAGGATTACTTGATAGCTTTGTGTAAGGACGGGAAAATTTGCTTATATTTTTATCCTTGTGTTTGTACCTGGCAAGACAAACTCTTAACAGTTTATTCTGAAAACAATGGGCGATGATGATGATGATGATTTCTTATCCACCCTTCCCCATAAGGTCCCAGGGCAGGTCACAATAATCCAAAAACACATTCTTAAAAACAACTAAAACAGATTATGATCATGAGTGAAAGTAGAAGGAAATAAACACTGATTTTCTGCACAGGAGAAAGTCAGGGTAAAATGTATTTAAGCCTTTATATTTTATTTCACTTCCACATTTTCTTTCTCCTCATTTCAGTTATTTCTTCGAATGATTCTGTGTTGCTCAGAGGTCATCTGTGGTTTCTCTTAAGGCTCTGAATTCTTGCAACATTTGTTTCTTTGTATAATATTGGCCATACATAGGACATGCATTTTAACATTATGGGAATCATTCCAACCACAAGTTTCACAAGCACCTTCATATATTCCTGATTCCTGGTCTTAAAACATATCCTCTTTTGCTGGCTATATTACATTTCCTTTTCTTGTATAATTCTGTTTCCCCAAAAATGTCTTCGTAAGAAAGTAGGTGATAGAGACATATAATGTAAAATGAGAATTTGGAATACATGTATGTGTGTATTAATATTTGAACGTTCCTGGCTCCTATTGTTGTTGTTGTTGTTTAGTCGTTTAGTCGTGTCCGACTCTTCGTGACCCCATGGACCAGAGCACGCCAGGCACCTCTGTCCTCCACTACTTCCCGCAGTTTGGTCAGACTCATGCTGGTAACCTCGAAAACACTATCCAACCATCTCGTCCTCTGTCGCCCCCTTCTCCTTGTGCCCTCCATCTTTCCCAGCATCAGTGTCTTCTCCAGGGAGTCTTCTCTTCTCATGAGGTGGCCAAAGTACTGGAGCCTCAACTTCACGATCTGTCCTTCCAGTGAGCACTCAGGGCTGATTTCCTTCAGAATGGATGCGTTTGATCTTCTTGCAGTCTATGGGACTATCAAGAGTCTTCTCCAGCACCATAATTCAAAAGCATCAATTCTTCGGCGATCAGCCTTCTTTATGGTCCAGCTCTCACTTCCATACATCACTACTGGGAAAACCATGGCTTTAACTATACGGACCTTTGTTGGCAAGGTGACGTCGATACTTCTCAAGATGCTGTCTAGGCCTGTCATTGCCCTTCTCCCAAGAAGGAGGCGTCTTTTAATTTCGTGGCTGCTGTCACCATCTGCAGTGATCATGGAGCCCAAGAAAGTAAAATCTCTCACTGCCTCCATTTCTTCCCCTTCTATTTGCCAGGAGGTGATGGGACCAGTGGCCATGATCTTCGTTTTTTTGATGTTGAGCTTCAGACCATATTTTGCGCTCTCCTCTTTCACCCTCATTAAAAGGTTCTTTAATTCCTCCTCACTTTCTGCCATCAAGGTTGTGTCATCTGCATATCTGAGGTTGTTGATATTTCTTCCGGCAATCTTAATTCCAGCTTGGGATTCATCCAGCCCAGCCTTTCGCATGATGTATTCTGCATATAAATTAAATAAGCAGGGAGACAAAATACAGCCTTGTTGTACTCCTTTTCCAATTTTGAACCAATCAGTTGTTCCATATCCAGTTCTAACTGTAGCTTCTTGTCCCACATAGAGATTTCTCAGGAGACAGATGAGGTGATCAGGCACTCCCATTTCTTTAAGAACTTGCCATAGTTTGCTGTGGTCGACACAGTCAAAGGCTTTTGCATAGTCAATGAAGCAGAAGTAGATGTCTTTCTGGAACTCTCTAGCTTTCTCCATAATCCAGCGCATGTTTGCAATTTGGTCTCTGGTTCCTCTGCCTCTTCTAAATCCAGCTTGCACTTCTGGGAGTTCTCGATCCACATACTGCTTAAGCCTTCCTTGTAGAAGAAAACAACTGGCTCCTATTAGTAAACTCAAATTTATATTCTCACTCATATTAGCATACATTCCCTACGTACTAATCAGTAAATATACAGTTGTGTTCTTAAGCTGAGCTCTGAAAATGTTTGGCTGTGTCTCTGCTGAGTTCAGCCTTGTAGCCATTTGAAGGATACTCGTCAGCTCTCTGAGTTGAAGAACCTTCATTCTTCAAGTGACACTGGAAAACAGATGAGCTTAATTTCTCCAGATAGATACAGCATATGCCTTAGTCTGTGCCTGGTTCATTTTGCATAGGCACCACAAGCACACCCATCAATTTGGACTGTTAGCAGCTGCAGTAAGAATAAATCACCAGAACATAAAACAATGTCCTCTTGATTGTTAAATTGCTTTTATTTGATTTATTTTATTTTAATATCATTATTATATCATTCCCACCCTGAGATTGCTCTTGGTAATGAAGGGTGTGTGTGTGTGCAAATGGAACTGCAAATGCTATGTCAATCTGTGGCACAGCCTCATATATAACTTTGTCCTAGATAAAACCATCCCTTCTGGAGGCAGGACCTATAAGTTCCCTCTCATGGATCCTTGTTCAGGTGGATAGGTATAAAAGGTCTCCATTGCTAATCTTTAACTACTAGCTGCCTGGAACAGAAGTTCTATGGTGAATAATATAATGAAGGTGCAGGACACAGTGGAATTAGCTTTATTTTTTGATGCAGAATGCAACTATTTTTATAGTGTAGTGACAAAGAATTACCAGCACATCTTAGCCTTGGCGTATGCAGTAAAGGAGATAAATGAAAACTCTCAGATACTACCGAATGTCACTTTGGGCTTCCACATCTATGACAGCTATTTCAATTCTAAGAAGACCTATCATGCCACAATGCTACTTATGTCCACACCAGAGAGGTTTGCTCCCAACTACATATGTGGCATCCAAAGTAATCTAACAGCAGTGATCGGGGGACTGGACTACCGAATTTCTGGTCTTGTGGCAGATATCTTGCATATATATAAGGTTCCACAGGTAAGGATTATGTGCCTGTATGGATGTGCAGACGATGGGATTTAATCCTTTTAAATGCCCCTCAGATCCTTGAATTTCAAATAATATGATGGGTGAGATACATAAGCATTATAGCATGTCTACAAAAAAGTAACATTTATGTCTTTATTGATGTTCAAATAATTTTTATCCCTTTATCTCTCTTTTATGAATGGGAGCTTATTCCATAAGGTCAATGGTATGGTAATGGTAAAGACCCAAACCATTGTCCCCCTCCTCCTCCTCCTCCTCCTCCTCCTCCTCCTCCTCCTCCTCCTCCTCCTTCTTCTTTATTGAATTGATATACTGCCCTATACCCAGGGGTCTCATATAAAACATATTTTAAAAGTTCAGATTAAAATATCAGTACAACCAAGCATATGTAGTTGTGTGTGTTTATTGTGCGTGTGTGCATGCATGCACATGGATGCACATACTTCTTTATTTTATTTGTGGCTTAGGTCATTGTAACTATAACATATTTCCTGGGTTATATCCAACACTAGTCATAGCCAGAGTAAAGTAACTGAAATCATTGTTTTTAAGCTGATTTCAACATGGGTTATCAATGGTTATCACACCTTCTCCATTTTAAATTTACTGTTATTATTTTAGAAAAATATAGAAAATAATATAATATAGAAAATGAATCAAATGCTTTAATTGGTGCACAATTTAGTTAATGCATAAGTAACTAAGTGTAAAGCTACGTGATTGAAAAAGCAGAGTCTCTGTGCAATGTCAATATGAATATCCCATTCAGTGTTTGAAGCCCTTAACATTCTTAATCTATGGGCATAAAACACTGAAAGAATAGGAAGGTGGGCTTTAAGACTTATATAGCCATAGTAATTAATATAGACGTTCATTGTACAAGTAAATCACAATGTATGTCTGACTTTAGCTCAATCACCTTTAGGCACTTGGATAATAGACACACACATACACACAACTAAAAAGGGAGTAGAAAGGGGCTGGGGTTCTGGGGAAAATGACTTTGGCACTGCCACCTGCCACAGACCCCAATGTGTTTTAACTATGCACATTTTTGGCTTTATGTGCATGACCCATTATGTAACCCACGTGTAAGATAAATAAAATAAAATAAAGGTACATAAGGAGAGTCTTGCTAGATCAAACCATGGACCCCTCTCACACACAGAAGAGCACAAGCATGACTGCAATACCTTGTGTTATAGGAGATCTAGTATACCTGGAAGAAGTATTTCTTTACTGATCTTCTAATTCAAAACGTAATGTGAGAAGCGATTTGAATATCCTGTCTTCTGAGTTTACACCGCACATCATCAAACAATGAAGGAAGCTCTAGATATGACCCAAAGTGAAATTTGGTTCATTTTAAAGTGTATATCGTTACACCCATACACATCTAATCTTTCTTGAAAATCTTTTGTCTCTGACTGCTAAGGTCAAATATTTGTGACAGAGAGGAAGTTTGGAGAGAAATAGTCCCCTCTGATGTTTCTACCCCTGATATAAACCAACTTGACAACCTTAGCATAAAAATGAAGCATCCCATCTTTAACATATTGTAATAACATTCCCATGTCTGTTGCAAACAGTGTATCTTAGTGCATTTTGTAATCTGAGTTCTTCAATATACTGTTTAAACGTGACTACTAGTGTCACCCTTCTCAAATTTCCCCTTAGCTTCTCTATGGCTCTGCTCCAGAGATGGAAGATAAAACCACAGGAGCTTCCTTCTACAAAATGACCCCTGAGGAGACCCTTCAGTACACAGGGATTCTTTCTTTATTACTGCATTTCAGGTGGACATGGATTGGAATCGCTGCAATGGATAATGATAATGGAGAAAGATTTCTGCAAATTGCAGTTCCACTGTTTTCCCAGAATGGTATATGTTTTGCCTCCATTGAAAGAGTTCCTATGAAAATTGCACTCACTGAATTTAATGACCTGCTAACATGGGGAGCAAAAATACGTGACAAACTCATGGATAGCAAAACCAATGTAGTAGTGTTCTATGGAGAGTGTAACTCCATGGTATATTTAAGATGGCTCCCATATTTATCGGAACAGAAAAATGCAACAAATTTACTAAGTGGTAAAGTGTGGATTATGACAGCCCAGATGGAACTCACATCATTTCTCTATCAAAGAGACTGGGACACAGAAATAATCCATGGTTCTCTCGCCTTCACAATTCACAGCAGTGAACTACCAGAATTCAAACCATATATTGAGAGCAAAAATCCTTCTAGCACAGAAGGTGATGGTTTTATCAGGGACTTCTGGCAGCAGGCCTTTGCCTGTGTATTCCCAAACACTGAGGCAGATGGGAATATTTGCACAGGGGAAGAGAATATTGACAGTCTTCCGACACCATTTTTTGAAACAAGCATAACTGGTCACAGCTACAACATCTACAATGCTGTCCATGCTGTGGCCCATGCTTTACATGCCATGACCTCATACAGAGTCAAATACAGCAAAAGAGCACAGGAGGGACGACTGAAGCCTCAGAAACAACAGATGTGGCAGGTACTGTCCTCCTGAATATGCTCCTATGGCAATGTATAATATTTTAGATATTGAAATAGGGCCTACCCAGTATAGTAATTTATCTCCCAAACTTTTCTTGTGCACACATTTACTTTCTCCCTCATCTCCAAACACTCAAGAAACTCCTCTCTTTTCACCCCTCACGTGATTCCCTTGTTGAAACTCTGTCCTCCAGCCACTCCCCATACTGCCCCTACCCCATACTTTCCTTCAGTCTTTTAATGTATTAGTTCAGGGGTCAGCAAACTTTTTCAGCAGGGGGCCGGTCCAGTGTCCCTCAGACCTTGTAGGGGGCTGGACTATACTTTTTTGGGGGGAATGAACAGATTCCTATGACCCAGAGATGCATATTAAATAAAAGCACACATTTGACTCATGTAAAAACATGCTGAATCTCAGACCGTCCGTGGGCTGGATTGAGAAGGCGATTGGGCCGGATCTGGCCCCCAGGCCTTAGTTTGCCTACCCATGTATTAGTTTAATGTAAAAAGACTTTTGCATGGCTGGCATGTTGCCTAATGTACAAAGTTACCCTGCCCACTTTTGACTCTCACCCTGCCTGCTTTGTCCTTAGTCTCACTCACCACTGGCTTGCGGCCCTAGTAAAGTTGCCCATGAGACTGAAAATGGTTACCTATTCCTGCTGTATAGTATGGTGGGGGGTTTTTTAGTTAGCTTCTCCGATTGCATGTTGACATATCTGAGTTATTAGCAGCCGACTGTTGATGTCAGCTGTGGGTTATAAGTCAAATCAGAACGCTTCCTTGAGACCCGTGGATTGTAAATAACAATCTGTAGCTGGGATGGCAGCCGCCCTTTCTTTAGGTCCCATTCCTCTTCCTGCCTTTGGACCTACCGTTTCAGCCAACAACTTTAAAATCTTTCTGGGTTCTTCTTCCCAGTGCATTCTCTTTAGTTAACATGCTGAGAAATCAAATCCTAAGTTTAAGCTCACTGGTTATGTCATCAATCATCCCCTATTCAAAACTGTTCAGGAAACCTTTAGTCTGCTGCCGTTAGACCTTTGTCTGAAAATCCCAAACTCTTTCCTTTTCCATCTAGCTCCATCATTTTTTGAGACGTGTTTCATTTAACAACAGTGCTGGTGACAAAATTGTTTTTGATCATAATGGGCAGTTACTAGCTGGATTTGATTTTATCAACTGGATTGTTTCCTCAAACCAAACCTTTCACAGGGTGCAAGTGGGGAGTGTGGATCCAGAGGCTGTTCCAGACAAAGCCTTCACCATCAATGAAGATGCCATAACCTGGAACAACTGGTTTAACCAAGTATGATCCATTTTGGGGGGCAGTTTTGGGAATGTCCCATTGTTGAATGAGCCCTGATTCTCTGCATGGGTGTGTAAAGTAAATGTCATGGTGAACGCAAGTAAGAATGTTCTTGAATCAGAGTGCAACATTGTATGAATTGATGAATTCTTGGAGTTACAAAACATTCTGTTCTCGATATTCTGCTGTTTCTTTCAATAACTGAAATATAGATTTTTATAAGGATTAAAAATAATAATTTTACAAGTTGTGTTCAACTTGGCCAGTGGTTAGGGAAGATAGGAGCTGTTCCCCAACAACTCTTGGAGTGTGGCACTTTGGATATGTCTGGTGCAGAAGACCTTCTAGGACTTAAAATGAAGAATGCCTTATAATCAGCAAGTCAACTTTGTGCAACAAAGTTTTAATATATAGATAGATAATGGAGTACTATCTTCATTATTTTAACAAATGCCAGAAACGTTGACTCCATTCATACATGGCTACACAGTCTCTTCTGTAGTTCACAGTGTATAGACAGGTGGAAAGCCCCCAGAAGTGCAAGCATTTGAAGCTGTTTCTCCTCCTCCTCCTCCTCCTCCTCCTCCTCCTCCTTCTTCTTCCTCCTCCTCATCCTCTATGGATTAGGCACAGCCACTTTCTGTATGTTGTGAGAGTTGCCACCCTGGTTCAAGCAAGAAAGTGAAGGAGGGAGGGCCATTTTGCTGCTATGATTGCATACCTTGTCCAGAAGGGAAGATTTCAGACCAAGAGGGTAAGATATATATGTAGATAGATGTTAGATAGATAGATATAGATGACAGATAGAGATATATAGATAATGGATTGATAGATGATAGATAGATTAGATGATAGATAGATAGATGATAGATTAGGCTTCATATGCCATGACCCAAGGTTCTTTGGGGGACTGTATGCTTTAAAATTATGCTGTGGATGTGAAAGCCATCCTTAGATGGGACAAAAGTAAAAAGAAAAGAAAAGAGAGAAATTATTAATGGTATTGATGTTTTCTGTGATGAGCTCACAAGTTCATGGCCATTGACCTCTCCTCATATGTAAAGACCAGTTGTGGGTTTAAGCTCATGCAGGGAGCCCCAACATATACAGAAAGTTCCTTGCTGCAGACAATATGATCGTATTGAAGAGGTAAAGAGATGGTTTCACAGTTTTAAAATGGAAAAAAGAGAATACACTGTGACGTCACTTGGGTCTTCCTTTGAACACTGCTTTGATGCTACTGCTGATGCAAGGAATTGTGACTTCACCTTGCTGCTTTACATCTAACACATTCTAAATAATACTTGAAATTTTTTTCAAAGAATTTATTCTATAATTTACATAAACAAATTTTACCAGTACGAAAGAAATCATCTATTCGTATGATTTATAGTCCATGGTATGTTTATGAGTTCCTGAGTTCTTCACCAACTAGTCATGTGGGAAGGCTGGACATGCCTTCAAAATTATGCAGAGAGCCTCCACACTTATAGAAAGCTCCCTGCTGCAGATGGTATGATCAGTACAGTAGTGGTGATGGTTGGGTCATGCAGGACTAAACTGACCACAACAAAACCCCTTTTCAGCAGTTTTGCCCTCTATATGTGAGCAGAGTAAGGTGTGAAGAGGTCTTGTTTCTTTCTGTTTCAGATATGAATGACTGTAATAAATGCACAGATGAAAAGTACCCAAGCAAGAATCAAGATAAATGCATTCCCAAGATTGTAACTTTCTTGTCTTATGAAGAACCTTTGGGGCTCAGTCTAGGCTGCATTGCTCTTTCCTTTTCTTTGATAACAGCTCTGGTGCTGGGGACATTTATGAAGCACCATGGCACTCCCATCGTCATTGCCAACAACAGGGACCTCACCTACACTCTCCTCGTCTCCCTCCTGCTCTGCTTCCTTTCTGCATTCCTATTCATTGGTCAGCCTCAGAAGCTGACGTGTCTCCTCCAACAAGCTGTTTTTGGCATCATCTTCTCGGTGGCTGTTTCTTGTGTGCTGGCCAAAACTGTCACAGTGGTATTGGCTTTCATGGCCACCAAACCAGGTTCCAGAATGAGAAAGTGGGTGAGGAAAAGTCTGAGCAACTCTATTGTTCTTTTTTGTTCCCTTATGCAGGCTGGAATCTCTACCACATGGTTGGCAACCTTTCCCCCCTTCCCAGATGTGGACATGCACTCTGTGACTGAAGAAGTTGTCCTGGAATGTAATGCAGGGTCTGTAACCATGTTTTACATTGTCCTGGGCTACATGGGCTTCCTGGCAATTGCCAGCTTCACTGTGGCTTTCTTTGCCAGGAAACTACCGGATAGTTTCAATGAAGCCAAGTTCATCACTTTCAGCATGTTGGTCTTCTGCAGTGTGTGGGTATCCTTTATTCCAGCTTATATAAGCTCTAAGGGCAAATACATGGTTGCTGTGGAGATCTTCGCTATCTTAGCCTCCAGTGGTGGTCTTCTGGGTTGCATCTATCTTCCAAAATGCTATCTTATTGTGTTGAGGCCTGAGCTGAACAACAGGGAACATCTAATAAGGAGAAAATTGTGAAGATTCTTATGAAGAGGAAAGTGGTGTCCATTGAGCTTTTAGCAGCTTTTCTTGAAATTCAGAAGCCCTTATATAGAGTTTGGAATTCTGTGTTCATCATAGATGGACAAATCTTCCCGTTTTTTGAAGGACAGCCATTCATAAATATATGTTCCATGTCATTCTTTCTAAATGCAATATTTTTTCTCAATCTCTGTGATTATGTTCACTCATTAGTTATATTTTTTAAACAGAAACTTCATGGCTGGGGAGGGTTCTGATTTGCACTATAACAAAGCTGGAGTAAATTAGTTTCCAAGCACTATATCCCTAGTTTTTATTGCTCCAATCCCACTCAGGTTTCATGCAACATGAAGGAATTTAGAGGTGCTCTGCTGCATGTTTCCCCTCTTTGGTCAGGTATCAATAAATTCAGTAAACAGCACTGAAGAAAACAAAGCAGTAGACTGCAATGTGTAAATGTGGGATATAAGTTCCTTTTCACCCCGCCACTGTTCTACCAAATCTATAGAAACCCATTTCCACCCGCCCCCCCTCCACCATATATTTTAACTTGAATGAATGAATCTTTATTTGTGTCAGCCATCAGCCATAACAATAAAACAACAATACGATATACAAAGAATAGAAATACAAATAGAAAGTTGATTATATAAAATACATTTTAGGGTTTTGAATCAATAGTCAAGTAGCGGATCTTATTCTAATTGCCCCAGTTAAAAACCTTGCAACCTTTTCTGTCACCTGCTCATCTTGATCTGCCAAGAGAAAGGATAGTGTGGCAGTGGCTGGGCAACCCAGAATGGACAATAAAGAGGGGTGATAACCTCATTCCTCAAGTCTTTATAAAGAGTGCAAGCCAGAAGGACATGTGTCACTGATTCAGTACTGCCATCTCCACAGGAACATAAGCATTTTTCGTGTGGAAACTGTTGAAATTGTCCCTCAAGTACAGCCACGGGCAATACATTCAATCTTGTGAGAGTAAAAGCGCATCTATGTTTTACAGTTGCTAGGTTATGCAGATATGGTGCCAGAGAATCAAATGGGAAGGTTGAAAATAGTCATACCACGGGCAAAATTTCCATATTGTGGCCAAGTTTTTCTGGTGCTCGATATCATTTAGGCACAGACAAATTAGACTGTTTGCTTTACTAAAACCCGAAGTGAGTAGCTGTTGTGGTGATAAGCCACAAGAGTGAAGTTTTTGACAGACAATTTTAGACCAGGCACACTTGTGACAATCTTGCAGCACTAGGGATATTAGACCGAGAGATTTGAGTTTAGGCAAAGCCAATAGTTAAGTGTCCTGTGCCAGATCCGTAATTCTACCGAGGGAAGATTAGCCTCTAGGTGTAATGATGCGTTTGGGACATAGGGTGGTACTTGATACTGAAAATCTTATTTTAATCCACCAGTACCTGTGGTAATTTAAGTGTGGTTCCAAAAGAGCATAGACACCTCTTTTTGAAAGTGAATTAATCAAATATTTATTTCAATTTTACAAAACAATTATTTAAAAATGGATGGTTACGTTTAATTAAAAGGATACAATGTAAAAACAACAGCTCTCAATTCAGTTATTATAATTCAGAATGTTTAATAGGCTGCTGTTTCTTTAACAAAAAGGGGGATAGCTTTGACAGTCTCATTCCCCACAATTCAGATCAATAGCCAATTACACTGACTAAATTCCATTTAAGACCGTGATCACTAGATCCTGATAACCTCACTTGCAAGTCTTCTCATAAAAAAACTTAATTTAAATATTTATTCTAATAAACATCATTTTGTATGCAGTTTTTACTAATATACTCATGGGGGGGGGAATCCCCTAATTTTTTTGTTATTTTTGCTAACATGTATTTTTAAACAGCTTTCGGTTCATTCTATACAAGAAAGTGTTTTCTGAAGGGTTTCTTCCTGCAGGCTTCTTCTTCTGGAGGCTGATTTCTTGAAACCCTTTTTGATTCCCTGTGTTATGTACTGAGTTGAATAGGATCCAAAATGCAGCAGTCTGATTGGTCCTAGAACAATGCAGCAGTATGATTGGTTGGCAGGAACCACCCAATCATGCTCCAGATAGAAGTGAATCCACAACCTGATTGGCTTACAGTAGAATTCCGGAATTAGCCAATCATGTGCAGCCCATTGTGTAAATAATGTATATAAAGCAGATACTTTGAGGGGACTTTCATTCATTCCTCCTCACCACTATGAGCTGAATAAAGAGCATGAAATCACTTTGCGACTCTGAGTATATTTCACTGGCGACGAAGGTGGGATCTCGCTGAGCTGACTGCCACACACAGCACTGCAGCACTGCCACCTGCCGCACCGCTGCCTCACACCGTGTATCCAGGCTTCAGCTCCGGGACACAAGGAACTCAGAATGGCAACCGACAGCAGCTTCTCGCCATTCAACCCAGCATCTGGAGACTGGGAAGCATACGCCTCCCGTTTCACCTTCCTCCTAGAAGCCAAAGGGGTCACCGATGAAGAAGATGCCAAGAAGAGGGCGATATTCTTCAGCGTCTGCGGAGAGGAGACGTTTGAAATCGCCCAGGCTCTCCTTGCACCTGAAGACGTCGCTACTGTTCCATACAAAACAATAATGGAACAGCTGAAGGGGCACTTTTTGCCGCAGCCCTCAGTGGTGGCTCGTCGAAATGCCTTCTATGCAAAGCGGCAAGCCCCTGGGGAAACTATAACTGAGTTTGTGACCTCTCTCCACCAAGCCGCCCGGTTCTGCAACTTCTCAGAGCTGGAGAACATGCTTCGTGACCGCCTCGTCGGTGGCCTGAAGGATGAGAAGCTGCAACAACGCCTCTACGCTAAGAAGGACCTAACGTTCCAGGTCGCTCTGGAGGAGGCCCTGGCAACGGAAGCTGCCGAGAGGTCGACGCAAGAGGCACGGCCGAGCCTGCCATCCCAACCGAGGGTCCACCATGAATACCTCACCGACGACTCAGGATCTGACAGGGAGGAGGTGCACTGAGTACAGCAGTGCACTCAAGCAGCACACAGACCACAGCTGCCTCAACAAGAAGGAGGGAACTGCGCAAGCTGCGGGGAGAGTCACGAGAGGAGAACCTGCCATTTCCGCAACGCAGAGTGCAGGCAGTGCAGAAAATTGGGACACATCGCCCGGGTGTGTCAGGCTCGGCCCACCCGACGCCAGGCATCAGATGACCAATCCAAGAGCCCCAGGTCCCGGGGCCCAACACACCAAGGCAACTCGACGGAGCTTATGGACTTTCAGGTATACCAGTTGCCCCACCCCAACGTAGAGAAAATTTATGTAGAGGTACAGATAGAGGGGGGCCTATGCCGCATGGAGCTTGACACGGGTTCAACTCTATCCATAATCTCGGCAAGGACCTTAAGGAAACTGTGTCCTACTGGGGGTCCCAAACTCAGGCCGGCCCCATTCACCCTCCGGGACTTCCAGAAACGTAAGGTCCCCACAATGGGGGTGGGGACCTTCAGGGTGCAATACCGGGGGCGGACGCGGCAACTGGAATTGCTTGTGGTCAAGGGCCCCTACATTAGCTTACTGGGATTGGCATGGTTTGGACCACTGGGGCTAGCCGTCACCGGGGGGAACCACACTAGCTTACAAGTGGACGTGGACGCCATATGCAAGGAATTTCCAGGGGTTTTCGATGGGAAATTGGGACAGTTTACGGGCCCCCCCATTGCTCTACAGCTTGACCCCACAGTACGACCGGTCAGGCTCAAGGCCCGCCGGGTCCCGTTCGCCCTGAAACCCTGTATAGACGAGGAATTGGACCGGCTCATGGAGCAAGGAGTGCTGGACCCGGTACCTAATGCCCCCTGGGAAACCCCAATCGTCACACCCGTCAAGCCTAATGGTTCGGTCTGCATCTGCGCAGACTACAATGTACCATAAACAAGGCCCTCACGGCCCATGCATACCCAGTGCCAGTGGTCAGCCATGTCCTTGCAACCCTGGCTGGGTCGAAAATTTTTGGCAAGCTGGACTTGGCCCAAGCATATCAACAGCTGCCAGTAGATGAGGCCACAGCAGAGGCACAGACGATTGTGACGCACAGAGGAGCGTTCAGGATAAAGCGGCTGCAATTCGGTGTCAGTGTGGCACCAGGCATATTCCAGAACCTAATGGACTCTCTCCTTAAAGGGGTTCCTGGCGTCACCCCCTTCTTCGATGATGTGTTGATTGCCGGGCCCACACCAGAGGAGTTTGAGGACCGCCTCCGCACCGTTCTGCACCGTTTCCAGACGGCGGGTCTCAAGGTGAAGCGGGAAAAATGTCTACTAGGAGTGCCTCAGGTGGACTTTCTGGGATTTATGGTGGACGCAGAAGGGGTCCACCCGACTGGGGACAAGGTACGGGCCATTTGTGATGCCCCAGCGCCCAAGAGCAAGACTGAACTCCAGGCCTTCTTGGGACTATTGAACTTTTACCACTCCTTCCTTCCCCACAAGGCGGCGGTAGCGGAGCCCCTACACAGACTCCTGGACAAGCGGGCCTCTTGGGTGTGGGGCCAGCGCCAGGAGGCCGCATTCCAGGCAGTCAAGGACTTGCTTGTCTCAAACTCGGTCTTGGCACACTTCGACGAAAGGCTGCTGGTGGTGCTAGCATGCGACGCCTCGCCGTATGGCATTGCCGCTGTCCTGGGACACCAACTCCTGGATGGAAGAGAGGTACCGGTGGCATATTTTTCCCAGACACTCAACGCAACCGAGTGGAACTACTCGCAAATCGACAAGGAGGGTCTGGCAATCGTGAAGGGAGCAAAAAAAATCCATGATTTCTTGTACGGGCGGCCCTTCACCGTGGTGACTGACCACAAGCCGTTGCTTAGCTTGTTTGCCCCCGAAAAGCAGACCCCCCAAGTGCTGTCTCCTCGCGTCCTCAGGTGGTCAATTTTCCTTGCCAGCTACCAGTATGCACTGATTCACCACCCTGGGAAGGCGATGGGCCATGCGGACGCCCTCAGCAGGCTACCACTACCGGAAACAGGCCCTGACCGAGCACCTGCACAATAGGTTATGAGCCTGGAGCTGCTTCCCGACCGCCCCATTCAAGCACAAGAAGTTGCACACCATTCCAAGAAAGATAGGGTCATCTCCTGGGTCCTGGACTGGGTGTGGAGGGGATGGCCCAGCAGCAGCCCCGGCCCAGAATTCGCCAGCTACACAACCCGCAAACATGAACTGTCGGCCCACAAGGGGTGCCTGTTATGGGGAAGCAGGGTTGTTGTTCCCCAGCCCCTCTGCAAAAGGGTCCTCACAGCCCTACATGACACACCCAGGGGTAGTAAGAATGAAGGCCCTTGCCAGGAGTTATGTGTGGTGGCCGGGGATCGACGGAGAGATAGAGGCCTGGGTCAAACACTGCCAGGCCTGCCAAGAATCCCGCCCAGATCCCCCAAGGGCCCCAGTCCAGTCCTGGGAGTCCGCCCGAGCACCATGGTCACGCCTGCATGTGGACTTCGCTGGCCCCTTTCAGGGGAAAACATTCTTCATAGTGGTGGACTCCTACACCAAATGGCTGGAAGTCACACTGGTACCGTCCACTTCTATGTCCACAGCCATCCGGGTACTACGCAGGCTGTTTGCAACC